CCTCCCTTCATTACTGATGAAAAATAGCATCCTCACATAAAAGCCAGGAGCTCAGCTTCTTCCCTGAGAGGCCAAGGAATGGAAAAATGTCTGCAGTATGTTCTGGAAAGCTAATAAAATTTGAAATTACTTCCTGTCTGAGTGAAAGCCCTTTTCAGGGTCTGAGTTGCAGTTGGCATGGATGAATTCTGCAGCAAGTTAAGATAACATTCAGCTTTTTATGATCTGCTGGGTTGAGTTGTGGGCAGTAGTAGGAAAGGAAGCTTAACAGGTAGGATGCTGACATCCTGTGTTAAATTTATATTGAAATCAACTTAGAAAAGCTGATATCAGAACACATTTCAACATGTAAAGACAGTTCTCAACTGCTACTCATCCCTGTAGATGTATCTGCAGAAGCCATTTCTGCTGCTTTGTGAATGGGTAAATTTGCTCAAATGTGAGTGTAATAAACAAAAGATCAGGACAGCTCCCACATTTGAAGGTGGAGGATATTGAGGATTGCTGACAATGGTCCTGGGGATACATCCAGAAGGAAGGGAGACCAGCTATATTAGTTGTCTTTTATTTCTGCATTTGGAATTGCTGTTGTAGTTGCTTTGTTTACTGTATCTTTTGTGGTACTGAACAGTTTTTCCATGTCAGTGGGCTTGTTCAGTACTCTCATGATGTTTTGGAAGTACTTACCTCAGCAAGGAAATAGACTTCGATAAATAACATTGTAAAAAGAACATAATTTGGCTTGACCCCCATCTATTGTAGCTGAGGCCTTGCTGCAGTCAAATGTAAAGCACCATAATCAGCAGGGGACAGAAGGTCAGGCTGCAAGAGATGCTCTGCATCTGTAGGTAAGCCAAAATGTACTAATAACTGCATGCTCTGGTGTTGGTGGCACTGATTGTTTTTGCTGCACATCTTTATAATGATGCTGTAGTTTCATTGCACCAGTGCTTCTCAGCACTGCCTGATGGCTGTTCCGTGACTCTGACAAAGATGTCCTGATTAACAACCTTTACATGGCTGCATGCATGCCAGAATACATATTTGTCCATTATACTACCGTTTTTTAAAGAGTGTTTCAGATAGATGTAGCCAGATTGTTCCAGTTTGCATTAAACTGAAGCAGATCTACATGATCTTTAAACCGAGGCAAATTCTTTAAAATGTTGGAGATAGGCTGTTAGCTCTGCTATTGCCTGGTACCCTGAGCAGCAACGCTTACTGCTTTTATGCAGCTGCTCTCATGCTGTTTAATCGCACTGCTCTGTACACGTTAAGGTGGAGACACGTTAAGTCCCTTGTGCATTGCACAGTGTCAGGATTTTAGTTGTTACGGGAAGTGGCATTTAGCAGAGCTGTGATACATTCAGGTTGAACTCAAGAAGATCTGTATAAGCTAATAGGAGGTATATGAGTTCAGAAAAATCAGCACAAGGATTTTATATATAGGAAGAATATTAGAGGCTGAAAAATAGTTTCAGGATTTAAAGAAATGAGAGCTAGTGCCTGCTGACAGGTAAAGAAGCCTCTGAAATTCCTTTTTTGTGTGTATGTGATGCTAGCTCTAAGAGTCAGTTAAAGAATTTTTGTTTGTTTCTGCAAGTGAGAATTTAGCAGTTCAGAGGGAAGCTATTTTTTCCAGCATTTTATTCTAATTGGTTTTCTTGAAGGGGAAAAAACCTGCTATGTCAACAGCCATCCTGTTAAAAAGACATTCTGTGTCACACATACTTTCCGTGACAAGTTACTCCTCATGGCCACTATTGAGCCTTCGCATTTGTAGTAAGAGTTTTGGGTAGTTGTTATTATCAGTGGGCTCAGGAAATTCTGATTTTTTTTTTAAATAAATGTACTCTACCTGTTTGATCCAACTTCACAAGTAACCCCCCACCCCCCCCCCCCCCAAGAGAATAATGTTTAAAGAATCTAAGCAGAAAATGTAAAAGGATGGCTCAGCTGAGGAATATCCCAACAAATATTCCCATGCAGTGATGAGGCTGAAAACTTCAGTGGGCTGCAAGGTTCCCAGGAGCAGAATGAATGAATTGTGAAAGTTGGACCAGGCAACATGACAAGAAAGCTGGGAGGCCAGAACAGAGAAAGGAAGGTTCTCAGAGGCTTACTGCAAGTACTCAGTTTGCCTGCCTGTCTGGTTCAAAAATGAGTGTTTAGGAGAGAGTGAAATATTTAGATACAGTTTTATCTCTTCTTTCCAGTATTCTGGTCCCTTGGTTAGTATCCATCCATTCTGTACAAATTTTGGAAATACCTGTAGCCTGCTTAAAAGTTATCTAACAGAAGACCAAGCTGAAAGCTTTGCAAGAAGAAGCCAGATGCTTGTCTCTGTAGTAGCATCCTCAAAAAGATGACTGAGTGCCTACCAGTTACATGTGTACCCCTGAAACAAAGTGCGTATGGGGTGGCAGCAGAGATGAGTTTACACGTGCTAATTTTATTCGAGGTCGTGCAGATGACAACAGAAGGGAAAACACAGGGATGTACTTGGGCTCTGGATACTTTTGGACTGGTTGATACTCTGTGATGAAACCCTTGGCATTGTGTTTTCAAAACACTTGCTAATTGTGTCAAGGTACAGGTGGCAAAAGTATGGCTGTGTGTGCTGCATTTCCACCTCTATCTTGTTACAGTGCTCTGACCTAAGAATGTAAAATACAGAATAGCAAAGAATAAAATGAGATGTATGCTGCAAATACATGCCAGGGTCAAATTCAGTCCTGTTGTGATTGATTTGATTTTACTGAAGGTAGAGCAGCCATGGATAAGAGCAAATAACTATTACTTATTCATTTCAACTCTTTAATGTGTATAAGTACGTTCTAGAAAAAATACACTGGCATGCCCTCTTAGATAAATGAATCCTAGGCATGATGTCACAAATGAGGATTTTGAAGGAGAGTGTGACTGGGTTACCAGTAGAGAAGGGCTGGAAATTCAAGTGCTAAAACTGCTTTGCTTGGTCGAAACTTTTTTTCTGGACTTCATTTGCAGTCAGTAGTCTGAGCAGCTTTGTGCCTTAGAAAATATATAGTTATCCCAGCTCTTATGCTGTGGCCTTAGTCAGACATTGACTTTACAAGCAGCTGTAGTGGCTTAAGGTGTTACAGCCCTGTCAGTGGAAGTTTCCGTCCTTGCAGATTTCCTAACAATAAGCTCTCTTTACACGTGATCAGCTGAAGGTAGCCAGGGCTGCTCTCATGCTCTGTTTTGGCTGCAGCTAGGCTGACTTAAAAAGTTACTGCTCTGGGCCTGGCCTCAGTTTTTTTCATCACAGCACCATTTAGAACAGTTAGAAAAATCTTGGTTATAAAATTCCACACACATTTGTTGAAACTAATCTGATAATTTTCAGCCAGCTGCGCCTCTTGAGCTTTGCCATAAATATCTGTGAAGAAAGGATGAGGCATGTGGGTCCTGCTGAAAGAGCAAATATAGTTTGGTGGAACACCTTGATCCAAAATCAGAAAAAAAACAGCTTTAATGACTTGACAGAATGCTCCCCTTCAACAAAAGATTTTTAGAAATGCCCTCCAATACCGGTCTTCTTTTTTAGACACCTATTCAATTGGGCAAGATAGTGAGCAATGGCAGAAGAGGGCAGAGAAAAGAATAAAGTGTGAAAGCATGTCAAAGCAATCGGGAAATTACCAAAGAAGTAGGAATATCTAGTGAGGATTGAAGAAGGTACAGCAGCTTAATTGGCTTTTATTCAATGTCCAGGATGTAGGAGATGGTAGAAGGTAGTTGAGAAATCAGATGGGAATATGGAATAACTTGCGTGTGTCTGCTACTGCTGATTTTGGCCAGCTTTAGAAGAGCACCAATACATACATGCAAGTCTTGCACTGGAGACATTTAGCATAATTGTGATTCAGTATCTGTGTTTAATGAAGTTTACAGGTTGCCTTTGATGTTTACCCTTGCATGCAGCATAGAGTAGGTTTTTCAGTGTTTTTCAAGCGGAAGTTTTTTGAAGAACTTCTATGATTATAAACTTGTGAAAATGAGAATTATAGTAAAAATTCTTAAGGATATTTGTAAAAGTAGGTTTTTTTTTTTTCATAATAGTATGATGTGATGTAAACTTTGCAGATGGAAAATAAGATGGAAAATAACAGTATTCACTCTGAAAGATAGAACTCTGTGAGTCTAGTTTACAATTACATTTAATGATTTTTGACCAAGCAAATTTTTAAAAAAAGTGCCTTTCTTCATTTCCTACTGTTAGCAGACACTGGAACAAGTAGCAAGTGAGAACATTCTGTATCTCATCAAAAGTTGTTAACAGACTTGAAAACCTGAATAAAATAGCTTCAAACTTGGTTAATTTTCCAATGTGGATTTTAACTTCAACAATAAAGTCTGTCTGTAATCTATCAAGAACTCACATTTTGACATCCTGAATCTCAGAGCCATTTGGCTTTGACTTTATGGCTCTGTTCCATTCATAGTTATACAATTAAGGAAAAGCTATTCGCATAAAAGTAATGGTGTATAGAGCTACAGTTCCTAAAAGGAAAAAATGCCAGTTGTTTTGATTTATTGTCTCATTGTGCAGAATTCTGTCAAAGCTTTAGATATTCCAGCCAGTTGACTTTGTAAAGCAGCCAGACTGTGACCTGGTAATTAAATTGTGAATACACAGTGCTGTAGAGGAGTAACAGATCCAAAACCACTCAACTGATGCTTCAGAGCTAGTGATTTTTCACATACTGGAATCAACGTAGATGTAGCTTTAAAAAGGCTACAGGCAAATTTAAAATATTTTGTGTTGAGAAGGTGATTTTCCACTATCTTTGCATTGTACAAGCGTGAGTGACTGTAGCCATGGAATTCCCCATAAAATAGGGAAGCACCTCATATAGTACAGGAGAGAGCAGAGGAGTTGGTTTTCCAAGGTTAAGTTTGCTTTCTTTAACACAAAATCACATATAATTCTGTGTTACATCTGGATTTTTTTTTTTATATTAATCACAAAAACATGCTTCCTGTAAAAGTATACTCTGGAAAGAGTGAATGTGAATTTTTTTAAACTTCTTTTTTTTTTTTATTAAGATCTGGTGCTTGAAACTATGCATCAAGACTTTCAAACTTCTTTTAATCTATTTTTGTCAGATCAATGCAAACAGAATGTGTTTGATACAGATCAAACGTAACATTAATGAATGCAGTAGCTTTGTTGTGGACAAAACATTGAACCACTGTGTCAAATTCCTCCCTCAATTTTCTCTTCCATCAAAAATGATCTAATTTTTAATTTTTCGCTTGAAAAGGCTTAGTTGAATGTCTGTATGGTCATGCTTTATATCTTGTGCAGATGTCAGTCTATTCTGCTCTGAATTTTATACAGCTATTTCCTAATGGAAGAAAACATTTTTCTATCTAACGGGGTACTAGAAGAAACATGTTTCTTTTTGTCTAGGTAACAAAAAACAGGATAGTTGTTGCCCGTCTTGTATGCTAAAAATGGATTAATTATATCTTCTGGTGAGAAAAGTAGTAGGTAAGAAATACAGGCTTAATTAAACTCTCTTGACTGGCTGTAGTTACCAACTTGGGACAAGCTATGAAAAGAACAGCATTTAACTGCAGTGAGAAGTACCCCAATTTATTTTTTCCTCCAGTATCAAACAGAGAACTGTTCTGTCTGCTTTTACAGTGGACCACACATGAATGCATAGTACTTAGGGATCATTGTCATGGTCTAATTCTTACAGTTGCAGAAACAACTGTTGCAAATAAGTGGTGATGGTTCCATGAGTTCTTGGAAAAGTGCAGGAAGTTGTATTTTGTGTAATGAAGAGTATTTTGACCAGTACTGGGATTCTGAAATAGCTTTGCCATCCAACAAGGGGTAAAAAACAGTATCTTGCAGAGCAGCAGGTTTAGAAAGTCTTCTCAGAGAGGCCAAATAGTTACCCTGCAATCAATGGTATACTTGAAACATTGCTGTAGGATGAATATAGTTATGAACATGAAAAGCAGATACTGCAATTTGGTTTTTGATAAAATGTATTAAAAACAAAAGTGTCTGAAGAGGAAAGGACAGGAGAGTGTTTTTAATGTAATGGGAGCTACTGTGTTCAGTAATCACACTGTTACACGGTTCTTTTCATCTGTGAATCTCAGTGTATTTATAAAAATGCACATACCAATGCTCATAGGGTTGTAAGCATTTTAAGCATCCTTTGTAGATGCAGTCCTTTGCAGAGCTTATTTTCTTGGACATTATAACTGAGTAATACTGGACCTACAAAATTTGGTCTTAAATTGATAAATCTAAGAAATTAAAATCATCACTAGCGATAAGGTGGTTTGGTTTTGTTTTTTTGAAGTGCTACACATCCCATGAATCTATGAGGGCAGGTTCTTTTAGCACCAGTGACAGCCAAATTACTAAGTGAGGAACTTTGAACCGCTGTAAACTTTGAAGTGAGCTCCCAGTAGTTCTTGCTTTCTGGATTGTTAAAAGTAAACAAGAAACAAAAGCCGATGCCTGCAGATGCCATGGATTTCAGAGCTTGTTTCTGGTTCCAACAGGCTGTAGAGGAAACCATCCATGGTGGGAACAGTACTTTTGCCATAGGAAGCTCTGGAAGACCTAGCCAAGGATGAAGTAGGTAGCACAAAGCTGAGGGGGGAAGGAGGGATATAAGCCTAATTGAAGATTGTATAGAGTAAAATTATAAGGATGAGGAGCTGAAGCTGTATATTGGGGACTAAGTGTGAAGTAAAGGGGGGTGGAAGCATGCGAGTCAGAGCTGTTGCAGAGTTCCAGCCACTCTTGATGACAGTATGTGTCACTATATTTTCTCTTGCCTCTGTAACTGTCCAAAGTAAATTTGAAAACCACTGCATGAGTGACTTTGCTTTTCTTACTTATTTTTGAAGGGCTGTCTGATACTGGGTAGGAAATGGTTGAACATAGGCATTTAGAGATTAGATTGGTACACTGAAACAGATTAAAGACTAGCAGTACTAGCAAAGTCTGTACAATACCTGTGTAAAGTCATGTGTGTGACTGCACACACAGTTTTAGACAAAAGACAAAAACAGTGCTACCTTTTCTTAGGTTCATTTCTAGTAGTAAAGTTTCTCCTAGTACGAAAGGGAAAATTTTGTCATTTTGCACACAAAATACTTTTGTAACATTTTTGAGTGATCTATTTAATTTGCTTTTCTAATCTTAGTTACCTCTCACTGCAGCCCGTTTATATTCCTACAGTTTGCTCTGTTTTCATGATGCAGAATCCCACCTCCCTTTCCATTTCTGTTGAATGAAACATAACTGGTTTTAGTCAAACTCTCAATTCTTTCGTAGTTTAAATCAGTGTTGATTTATTAACATAAGTGGAAGACAGCAGTTCATGCAGGCTGATGAGGTAGCCCCATGTTTTCATGATTTTGATTTGGTTTCATTTAAAGACATCAGGTTGTAAGACACTTTTCAGCATTCTGAAGAACTGGATAATACCAAACCACCGCTCCCATACAATTAATTGAAATGGGAAAAATGTTTCCTTTGCAGTTTGTTTTGACTTTTGAGTTATAGCAAAAGCAAAACAAACTGTGTTTGAATCCACAGATAAAAAAGTTGAATGATACCTATGGAAATTTAAGCTTGCAAATGTCTCTTAGTTTTGGGAACTGAAGAGAGTTCAAATGCTGCCCAGTATTTTGCAGCTTCAGAAATTAATCTGGATCCTCATTGGCTGTGATCAAAACCACCCTTCTAGTTAGAGCTAGCTGAACTCATCTGGCATTAAAAAGAAGAGCTGAATAAACACTGTTTTGTGAGAGCAGATCTCTCCAGTCAGTGTTGACACATGTTTTCAGGATGAAGTTGAGCAGAACATTGCCTCATGATATATTTGCCTCTGCCAATATATCATCCTTCTAATTGTGGAGTTGCCTAGTTACCTTTCAACTCAGTTTTTAAAAGAAAGGCATATTTCTGCTGATTTTTTGGAAGACGTTCAAAGCACCTATTCAGAAAATTGCTACTTGCAGAGGAAATTCTATTGAATTCCTAATAGACTGGTATGAATATAACAGTTACAATAATATAGTTTCAGTGTGTATCTTTTTATTTACTTAGGTTTGTATGGTGATGGGAAGATGTTTCTTGGTAAAGAATGTAATTGCATATTCTACACATCCTCAGTGCAGTAGGCCCTGTAGGGAAACAGCTCAGAGGCAAGAAGCATAACAGTTGTCTGTAAACAATCACAAACACCATATGGTTTTGCATACTCTACAGGTATCTACACACAAGTGGCTGTTACTTGTATCAGAACAAAGAGGATTTGTATCTGTCCATGTATTTATTTATAGTCATCCCATTGTGTTTGAGTACCCTAGCACATTAAAGATTTTATTTATTTATCTCTTACTTTATTTAGTGAAGACATAATATTCATGATAGGTTATGATTGAAAGAAACCAAATGTTTGACATTCCTCTAATGGGATGGGGGGCTGTTTCCTGAGCAAGCTAGAGCACTGCACATGCAACAGCAATCCCTTTCAGTTCAACTATGCCAGTGTTTTGGTGATGGCAAGTTCCCATGGAGCAAATGCATGTTTTCACTTCCTTGCTTCTCTGCATTCATTTAGCACTATTCATATGACAGCCTTAGGGCTGTACTTCTGTGTGATTTTTTTGGGTTGCACATGCCATGTACTGGGCTGAAGCATTTGACATTTTAAATTTTGGATGTATAATCCCTTGCTGTGTGTTTTCTTCTGCGTAATTCTCTAAAAGGGAGATGAGCTACTCTGAAAACAGTCCAGTAATCATCCACTCCAGGGATATGAATGCCAAGAAAGCAAGGGAAAACACAAGAGGTGCCAGATTCCTGTGTCAGGGGTTGCAGCTGGTGCAGCTGTGTGTGCATCTGGTGTGTCGTGTCTCTGCTGAACATAAATGCTTGCATCAATCTGCCATGTTCTGCTCCAGCCCAAACCAAGGGCAGAAGGTTTTACATTGGCTTTTGGGTGGATGTTGGTGTTATTTCGCAAGCACAGCTGATGAAACTTCAAAATTAAGATAATGTATGGCATTATGAATTTTAATTCTCATCATCTAGTTTTATTGGGGTTTTTTTCCATTTTAGGGAAGTCCTACTGCTGTGGTAGGCCTGCCATCCTCTCCCAGATGCCATTAGGGACCTCTTGATTCTTCCAGACTTTGACAATGTTTCACTCTATCCTTACTCTTTGAAGAACAGCTCAACAACTCGGTCAAAGCTTCATGCTCTTTCGGCCCTCCTTTGCCTTCAGCATCTAACACCAGGATGAAGGGCTGATAGTGACAGATAGAGGCTTACAGCTTCAGATTGCCCTGATGTTTTTCTGTGTGATGTTTTTTTGTCATATAGTTGAGGAGATCTTCACATACAGCAAGGAGCCACCATTGCTTACGAGGAGTAAGAGCAGGACATGCAGCTATGGAGTTGTGATTTCATACAGAGGAAGGCAGTGTACATGCATTAACAGCCACAGTAGAGTATGCACAGGAGACACAATGAGGCTCTAGTCTAAGACGTGTCTTTGATTTCAAAACTCCATTTTTGGGAAGTTTTTACTACATTCACCCATTTCCTGCTGGTGTTTTCCCACACTTCAAACCTACGAAGTGAGCAAGAAGATAAAACCTGAGGATTTCCAGAGCAGATACATGTAGATCTTTGAATCATATTCTTTATTTTAATTACCATAAACCTAGGCAGGAAAAACAATTTTTGGTGTTTTCTGCATGATTCTCGTCTCATTTTTGAAAAATAAGGGTGGGAGTAAGGGTCAAATTGTGGGTTTGTTTTATTGTTGAGTTACAGTTCAACTAAGCAGCCAGCAGAACTAACAACCATATATACTGCAGTATGTATCAGCTGCAGAGTCAAAACACTCCTTTGTGATCTAAATCCTGGTAAATCCAAAAGTATAAATGAGTTCAAAAGAGAGTAGTGGAGAAGTGTGAAATGCCATTAATCACGAAGATGCAGATAAAACTGTATCTCTAAACTACATCTGCTAGAAAATGGAAGGCCTCAGCACGAGAAACATCATTGTGTGCTGAGTGGTTCTTGGGTTGTTTTGTTAAGAGTCTGCTGCTGACCAGAGTTAGAAATAGGATGTGTAGCTAGAGGGATCTTTGACCTAAGCTGGCATGGCTGTTGTGATCTTATATGTTGCAAGAGAACTGCTGACAAGAATCCTGAGACTCTCTAGAGAGTAAGAAAATGGGTTTTCAAGTATTTCTCCATAATTGTCTTAAAAACTAGAAATCGAGTATTCATCCAGCCTCTATTCTAGTTCTTATTCATGAGTGCCTAAGAAGCTAATAGATTTTTGCTTTCTTAACTCTACCACACCCTACAGAGCAATATCCGTAGCTGCATGACCACATACTCTGGTGAACCCTTATTTCTCACCCTTAGTTCTGAAAACAAATGCCTTCACGTGTCCTCCTTTTCTTATGTCCACCCTTTTTCCTGCTACTATCTAGTTCCCCCCACCTGAAATATTTGAGTTTTAATGCTGTGTACCAAATAGCCTGACACTTCCCATTCATTCCTTTTCTTGCTTGTCTGACAAGATAGCGAGAAAGCAATTAAGTAAAAGAAGAAATCTGCACCCCAAAACCTATGCCCTAGGTTGTGTCAGATTCCTCCTGGATCTCAGATTCCTGCAGGGTTGCACTGTGGGTGGGGATTCAATGGTGGACTGGAAAGCAGCCTTGTTTCCAGAGGATCAAGTAAAGAAATGGTTCCTGTTTTCAGTGAGATTTTGGAGGAAGAGCTCCAGGAAGCAATTCTGCTCTACTCATTTTATTGTGGAGGGTAATAATTTGAGTCCATCTGCTGTACTACAAATAGAGATCTCAATTTTCAGCAGTGCTGGTTCCCTAAACCGGCCTAAATTCCAATCATTACATGGTTGTCTTCTAATGTCAGTTACTGGCTCAGTAAGCAGAAGAAAACACTGTCCAGTCCTAGTAAATTATCATTAAAATAAATGTTTTTGGAAATACATCTATCAGGCAGGACTGCCAAAAAAAAAAAAAAAAAAGTATCAGTAGGCATTCAGGAGGTATCAGAATAAATACAGCATGGTATAAAATAAAATTAGGATATACACAGGACTGACACTAAGCACAGACAAGCAGTCTGAGTTTGGTAACTTGACAGGAGACTTTGTGGTGGAAGGAAGAAATGTGAAAGGGCTGAAGGAGGGCATGAAAAAGGGTCAAGTGACTTTACATGTGAGAAATGAGCTCAGGGACACTCTAGGAGAAGCAGAGGAAAAGTATATATTACCTAATTTTACTGCCACTGAAGTTTATTACCCTCTCCCCTTGGCATGTGCAGACTCCAACACACAGAATAGCTGTTGGAAAGGCGGAGGCAGGGGGAGAAGGACAAATGCAAAGAGCTCGTTGGGGATCCATGTCTGGGAAGCTGTTGTGATGAGCACTGCCATTATTTTGTTGGGACACAGGACCATATAGCCTGAGGGTGGCATCGCAGCTGTCCAATCCCTTCCTCCATGGTCACACTGCACAAGTCTGTTCATTTGTCAAGCTCAGCCCTAAAATAACATTTCAAGGCTTTTGCCA